AGAGTAGGAGGGGAGGGGAAAGAAACTCAGAGCATCATGGGGCCCCCAGCAGCCTAGGCCTATAGCAGCATAACTAAGGGAGGGCTCAGGGTCACCTGATCCAGCCCTAACTATAAGCTTTATCAAAAAGGAACGTCTTAAGTCTAATCTTAAAGGTAGAGAGGGTGTCCGCCTCCCGAACTGAGACTGGGAGTTGGTTCCATAGGAGAGGAGCTTGATAGCTAAAGGCTCTGCCTCCCATTCTGCTTCTGTGGACTCTAGGAACCACAAGTAAACCTGCACTCTGAGAGCGAAGTGCTCTGTTAGGATGATAAGGCTCTACGAGGTCTTTAAGATACGATGGAGCCTTGTCATTAAGGGCTTTGTATGTTAGGAGAAGGATTTTAAATTCTATTCTGAATTTTACAGGGAGCCAGTGGAGAGAAGCTAATATGGGAGAGATATGATCTCTCTTGCTAGTTCCTGTCAGTACTCTGGCTGCAGCATTTTGGATTAACTGGAGGCTTTTTAGGGAATTATTGGGACATCCTGATAGTAAAGAGTTACAGTAGTCCAGCCTGGAAGTAACAAATGCATGGACCAGTTTTTCAGCATCACTTTGAGACAGGATGCTCCTGATTTTTGCAATATTGCGCAGGTGAAAGAAGGCAGATCTAGAGACTTGGTTTATGTGTGATTTAAAGGACATATTCTGATCAAAGATGACTCCAAGGTTCCTCACAGTAGTACTGGAGGCAAGAGCTATGTCATCTAAAGTAACTATATGATTAGACAGCAGATTTCTAAGGTTTTCAGGCCCAAGCACAATAACTTCAGTTTTGTCAGAGTTTAGAAGTAAGAAGTTGCAGGTCATCCAGGCCTTTATGTCTTTAAGACATGCTTGAAGTTTGACCAGCTGACCTGATTCATTTGGCTTCATAGATAAATATAACTGAGTATCATCTGCATAGCAATGGAAATTTATGTTGTGCTTCCTGATAATATTGCCTAAAGGGAGCATGTATAAAGTGAAGAGAATTGGACCTAACACAGAGCCCTGTGGAACGCCGTGACTAACTTCAGTTTGTGTGGAACATTCGTCATTAACATGAACAAATTGAAATCTTTCTGATAAATAAGATTTGAACCAACTTAGTGCAGTTCCTTTAATCCCAATAACATGTTCAAGTCTCTGCAGTAAGATGCTGTGATCAATGGTGTCAAAAGCAGCACTGAGATCTAAGAGGACAAGTATGGAGACAAGTCCTTTGTCCGAGGCTAGGAGAAGATCATTGGTGACTTTCACCAATGTGGTTTCTGTGCTATGATGGACTCTAAATCCTGACTGAAAATCCTCAAACAAATCATTCTTGTGCAAGTGGTCACATAACTGCTTTGCAACAGCTTTTTGAAGGATTTTGGAAATAAATGGGAGATTGGATATTGGTCTATAATTAGCTAGGACACCTGGGTCAAGAGTAGGCTTTTTGAGTAGAGGTTTAATTACTGCAAGTTTAAAAGCCTGTGGAACATAACCTGTTAATAGAGAGAGGTTAATCAGATCTAGTATGGATGTGTTGATTAGGGGAAAGACGTCTTTGAGCAGCCTGGTCGGGATGGGGTCCAGGAGACATGTTGATGATTTAGATGAAGCAATTGTTGAGGTCAACTCAGCGAGATCTATAGGGGAGAAGTAATCCCAGTATAAATGAGGTCTTACAGATGTTTCTAAAGCCATTGTAGTAGATGGCACATCTGCGAGAGCTGTGGGAGTGGTCCGACCAATTTTTTCTCTAATAGTTGTGATTTTATTTGTAAAGAAGCTCATGAAGTCATTGCTGCTGAGATCTAAGGGAATGTTAAGCTCAACAGCACTGTGGCTCTTTGTCAGCCTGGCTACAGTGCTGAAAAGAAACCTGGGGTTGTTCTTATTTTCTTCAATCAGTGATGAATAAAATGCGGTTCTGGCACTACGAAGGGCTTTCTTATATGTAATTAAACTATCTTTCCAGGCAATGAAAAACTCTTCGGACTTAGTGGAGCGCCGCCTCGTTTCCATTTTCTGTGATGCCTGCTTTAGGGAGCGGAGCTGCGAGCTGTACCACGGGGCTAACCTCGTCTGTTTCACTGCCTTCAACGCTGCAGTACTATCAACAAGATTATCGATTTGTGTGGGAGTAAGGTTAAGGTGGCCTCCTTCCACTGTGTTGGCAAACGGCACTGAAGTAGATAAAGATGGAATTATTTCCTTAAACTTGGTAACAGCATTGCCAGATGGACATCTGCTGTAGTGGAATTGTTTCCCACATAGAGTATAATCCATTAATGGAAATTCAAAAGTTATTAGAAAATGGTCAGACAGAAGAGGGTTATGGGGAAAAACTATTAAGTGTTCAGTTTTGATGCCATATGTCAGAACCAGATCAAGAGTGTGATTAAAACAGTGAGTGGGTTTATTTAGTTTGAGAGAAGCCAACTGAGTCTAATAATGAACAGAATGCATTGTTGAGGCTGTCATTGTCGGCATCTACATGAATATTAAAGTCGCCTACTATGATTATTTTATCTGTACTAAGCACTAAATCAGACAGAAAGTCTGAGAATTCACTTAAAAACTCTGAATAAGGAGCAGGTGGACGGTATACAATAACAAACAGAACAGGCTTTTGAGTTTTCCAGTTTGGGTGTGAGAGACTCAGGGTGAGACTTTCAAATGAGTTATAACTATGTTTAGGTCTAGGGTTGATTAATAGGCTTGAGTCAAAGATCGCTGCCACACCTCCACCTCGGCCTGTGTTTCGAGGGATGTGACAGTTACTGTGACCTGGTGGGGTGGATTCATTTAGGCTGACATATTCTTCCTCAATTAGCCATCACTATTTTTAGGAATGCTCTCAAGCTCTCACCTTCTTCTGATAATTAAGTTAAATTTCCAATTTCAGTTTTTCATTTCGTGTTCCATAATTATTCAGCATTGCATCTCAGCCTTCAGTCATGTCAGCATTTTCAGGGCAATTCTTCAGCAATCGGCATCCACGCGCATTTTCTTCAGGAAATGCATTTGTGTGGTTTTGTTTGTTTCCCCCTTCCTCAAAACTCAGGCAATTTAATGTTGTGATTCTACACACTCCGATGCAGCAGGTGGCGGAATGACCGTATTCCTTGGTTCGGAATCCGCAAGAAAACGAAGAGAAGAAGCAGCAACTCTGAGCAACAGCAGAAGAAGTAGTTCTGTGCGAGACAACAGCGAATTTGGAATAAGGTGGTTGATTTGTTATGCGATTCGGATCCTCATTAGCACGCTAGTTCTGAATACATCACCTGAAGCACAAGAATATCTCGCTGCCAAGGAGAAGCTTCAGATTTACAGACATAAACAGCTAGTTGAGCTTTATTGCCAAGCAGCAGTTGCAGGCCACGAGCAAGGAGTCAGTATGAACTCCTGGGTCCGCTTTAACGCGCAGAGCCAAGCCAAGGAGAAGCTTTTTAGGTAATGTTACTGATTTTATTACCAACAACGAGAACATATGAAATATCGCTGAAGCCACACATACGGCTTGTTAGCTAGCGTTAAATCTCCGCCAGCCGACTAGCAGAGACAGACCACTCGCTAACAAACGGCAAATTGTACTAGTTAGTCTACACAGAGACAGCACAAAGTTGGCTGACTCGAATGGAGAGTGTTTCTACATGACCTGAAACTGAGTAACTGATAGCCAGTGTCTGCACTGACGAGGAGAGATCTGCAGTGATCTTTTCAACTTTTCACTAGATTCTTTCCTCTGCTGTCATTATGAAAAGCTGTGTTGTGATCAAATTAACAGTGTGTGTTGTGCACTCACAGAGCTGCTCAGTACGCCTGCACTCTGCTGGGATACACTTTGCAGAAGGGCGGGGCAGGGGCGCAACTCTACAGAACTGTTCTTCAGCTGGAAGCGCACATGAGCCTGACAAGAAAGTGTAAGTAAAGGTGCCACTTGCAGTTCTATTCCAACCACCAGAGCTGAAGCAGGGTGACTGTTGTGTGTTTTGTTGCCAAGTGCTGCGTCTGGGAAACTCTGTGGAGGCACTGGAGGCTGCCAAGAGGGCCATACACCTTTCTGACAGCGTACTGAGGCTCTGCCTGACCATCAGCCACCTCAACAGAGCCTTGTACTTTGCCTGTGATAATGTCCTGTGGGCTGGAAAAACAGGCCTCATCTCTAGACTGGACCAGCACAAATGGAGTCAGAGATCTTTCAGGTGAGCGAGGCGCTTCTTTTTCTTTTCTGTGTGTATGTTTTGCAGACAGTCTTCATACGCACCCTGCGGTGGTAAATGCTCCACTGCCCTCTCGGCAGAGCATTTACCACCGCAGGGTGCGTAGGAAAACTGCCTGCGTGAGGAGTTTATTACCAGGAAATACATCATGTACTGTCGACCTGTACTGTTTACATTCTCAGTTTGCACATGCATAATTGCACATTGACTGTTGACTGCTGCACATGCTGCTCTCATGCAGCATACATTTTCCTATTATATTCTTATATATTTTTATTATACTGCTGCATTTGCTGCTTAAAGTGCCTTAGATTTTGTGTTACTTATTTATCTACTTTATATTTCATTTGTATTTTGTGGCATTCATATGGACAGCAAAGTAAGAATTTCATTGTACAGGGAAATACATTTCCTAACTGTGCATATGACAAACACTTTGACTTGATATTTTAATGACATAATCATAGAAATCTGACATTATATTCAGTGCTGTGAGTTTAAACCTCAGTTGCAGCAGGTTTAGGTTCAGTCCACCTACACTGACCTCTATTGTTTAGTTTGGAAAGACGGATTTAGAAGGGTTTGGCTGACAGGGTTAATAAGGACCCTGATGTGACCCACAGACTAAAACTCTGGATATTGAAATGCTGTATTTGTACTTGAAGTACTCACTTGAAATGGAACACAGTGAATTAGACCCACAGCTCCAAAATAAACAACCACGTTTGTACTGTTGTCATACCCATTATGTGATTGAACTCTGCAGGTACTACCTCTTTGCTTTGATCCTCAACCTGACTCGAGATGTATATGAGCTCCGCCTTCTCATGGAGTGTGACACGCGTCACAGAGCCACCAAATCCCCCCCTTCCCCATCCCTCGGAATCCCCGCTGACCACCTGTCCTACCCCTCCTCACCTGCGGCTCCAGCCACTGTGGCCCTGCCCATCATGTCAGATTGGCTCCGCAGACAGCTTCACCTACTGGTAGCTGTGCTGTACAGCAACCCACCGCTGCTCTTAGACCTGCTGAAGAATAGCTGTGATATCTTCATCCCTCTGGACCGGCTGGGGGTTTACCCAACAGGACCTGGCTTTGTAGGGGCCTGTGGCCTGGCCTCCTCTATTCTCTCCATCCTCACCATGGTCCACCCCTGGCTCAAACTCAAACCATGAACCAGGATTAATAGTGAAGTCCATCTGAACAGCCCCAAGGAGGAGTGAGATTCCAGTGTAATGGGGTCAACATACTGATGGTTCTCTGAAGACAGCATCTGCTGCTGTTCACTCATCACGTTTGGAACTAGTGGCAGGGCATCCAGATCCTTCAGATATGCTCAAAATAAGTGACAGGGTACACCCCGAGAAGCTTTTGCATCACACAATGCTTATATACCACTAACACCTCACAGCTCATTTCTGACTCGCATGTCTGAACTAATCAGCTTTGTATTGAAGTGTAGTGCTGCTGCACAGAGCCCACTGTCTCAGACTTCCACAAAGTTACTCATACTCAACCATCATTCTACACTTCATAGTCCAGCCGTTACCTCTCAGTACTCAGAGGCTGAAGGCACTACAGTAAAGAGCTGTAGGATGGTGGCTCCATTCATTTAGGCTAACAAATAGATGCAGACAGTCTGTAGAGCCTCTTAGATGCTGCGCTGCTCTCTAGAGGCCCAAAGGTTCTGCTGTGTTGCACATGTGACACCACCCAGATGTGATGTGTTGTTGAACTGTAGATGTTTGTATTGTCAGTTGTTTCATGTGGCACCACCCTGTTAATCAGGAAGTCAATGAGGAGATGTGGAATCAGTGTTGGTCTCCAAATGTTACATTGTGCAGGCTTTGCAGTTTTGACACAGGACCTGTTTTTAAATAAACCTCCTACTGTTTTCATGAAGGTGCTGTCAATTATTAGCAGTACTGTTGAAAGCTATCACCCTGTTTTTAGTATTGAAAATGGGTATTACTTTATAAAGCTTTTCTTAACTGAATGTTTTAGTTCTCCACAGAATTTTCTGAACAGCTGAGTACTGTCAAAGCAGCAGAGGTGAAAGAGCCTGAGCTGGAGAAAAGAGTGAACATTAACACTGTTGTGTTATTCAATGTAGTTCACTCATTCATTATTTAGCAGGCTTGAATTTCTGACCCAATAACCAGCAAAACACAGTAATAGCCTCATGATTTCTGTGAATTGAAAAATTGGAGTGAATTTTTTAGATGCCTATTACATCAAAAACCTTGCTCAGTTACATGTAATAACTATATTTAAATGTAAATTTAAAGATTAACTGAGTGCTGTTCAAACAAATTGACTACATGCAGTCTGTATTTAAAAATACTTCTAAGCCTGTCTAGTTTTAAAATCTTTTTAGCCTCATAGCAATAATACTCTGGAATAGTTGCATCATTTCCAACATGATGTAAAACCGACTGGAATGTTTCATCACTGCAACCAGTCACAACATGAGAAATGATTATTTGTGGTTCAATAGCTCATGAAATGAAAGTTAAAACTTTTCAGTGATTCCAGTGATGTACAGTACATGTTTCACTGCTGGGGAACAACCTGGCCGTTTCCATGTCCACAGACTCCATAAGCATAGGCAGTGTGCAGATGTTATTCTGACCCGAGGATGAATCCACCATGCCTGGAGTTTGGCTGTCAGGACAGAAATCGCTGTCCCTGTCCTCACCCTGCAGAAATGCAGTAACATTTAGTTAAGACAGGCTTTGGGTTACAGATTGGTGTCCAACACGGAGGTGTACTTTGACACTGAATGTATGAATGAAGAAATGAGATGCCAGCTCAGTTTCTTCAGGCTTAGCATGAGAGATTTTGGAGAACAGCTGTTCAAGTTTCCATGGTAACCAATTTGAGTTCAATGTCCTCTACATTATGGAATGGAAAACTGTTTCCCTCAGTTCAGGGTTAACAAATTCAGCACTTTCACTGGTTGATACCGAATTATTAGCTTGTCCATCCAGTGGTGTCCAGCACCACTCGTTACCAGGTGACGTCCAGTTGTTATAGCAGTCCCCTGAAACTCTCCCCAGTCCTCAGAATAAAGTTGTCGGCAAGCCTGTAAAAACGGGTCCCGGAGAGAGCTAAGGAGCACAGGAAACAGACCATAACAGCAGGGCTGGCCTCTGATCATCTGGCATCAGAAACCTTACAACAAGGGCTGCAGGAGACTATTGAGCAAATTGTCTCTTTGCAGTCAGAATTCACACAAGAACAGCAAGGATGTGTGCAAAAAGCAGCAAGAGGAGTTGAGAGAGAAAAAATATTAAAACGCTATGGCAGAATGCATAAAGTAATAAGTAAGGATAATTATGAGATGCTTTGTGTGTGTTTTGTTTGAAATAATCATTAAAGAATGTGTAAGAGAAAAATGTAAAATGATTGTATTATATGGAATGGTGAAAAGTGCTTTTATATCCAATCTCATCACAAAGAGTGGAGAGTGCTGAGTCACAGAAAAGAGGAAGACACACATCCCTGAAAAGGGGAAGTGAAGTTGTATGACAGAGAGAGGAGTGTGATGAAAAAGTAGAAAGACACTGAGAAAGTAATAAAAATCATGTTCCATGTATAAAGATCTGATTAATAAATACTGTTTTAATCAATCTCTAATTAATAATCAATGTTTGGTCAAGTATAAGATTCAAATTATAAAAATCCAAGTTTAGATTTTAAAGCATTGATGGTTATGTGGAAAATCTGTGTGCAATTCTGATTGTTCAGTTGAAAGCGATAATGGGAACTTTTGTATTTCAAGCAGAAGTGGGTTTTCTGTCTTGTGTTAAGTATTAAGATGATAAGTTTTCTAAAGGAAGGGGAAGTAGAATCTGAGGCTGGATCTAACAAAAGCAGTCATGAACAGTTACAAGAATCCTGAACGCAATATGCAAATGAGTTTTGAAGAGCGACAGTGTGCAGGCCAAAAAAGTTATTAAGTGCAAACTATGGTATCTGGTTGGAGGAAGGGACTGAGTCTGCCGACCAGAACCCTTTAAAAACCCGGGCAGAAAGAGGAACGGAGGAGTCCTTCCACAGTTGCAGCCGGAGGCTCTGTCTGGTTGATTTCCTGACATCCAGAAGACCGAGGGACTGAAGGAACACAGCCAAAGGAGTAAGGAGGCTGCGGATTTATGTTTAGAAATGGTAGTTGATTTATTTAGACTGGAAGCCGATCAAGACAATTATTGATGATTTTAATGCTATATCTTGCTGCTTTGCTGTACCTCTTTTAAGCTCCTATATAAAATTCCTGAAAAGGTTTAATACTCTGTTTATTGAGTCAAGTTTTGATGATGCTGATTCTCATGATTTTAGTGGGTCTACACTTTCAATTAGTAATTGTTAAAGTTGCATATATTGCACAATTCCCATTGAGTTTTCAATTACACAATCAACAGCATTAATAGTATGCCAAACTTCTCAATGGTGTCTCAGAGAGTTAAAACAGGTAGTGGTAACCCAGCGGTGTTAACAAGCTGCCTGGTTGTGGATACCCCACGGGGACAAAACAAGCAGCACTTTTCTGATTGGGCTTGTTGCACGGGTGAATTCCATACATAACCAGCTGGCCATGAGAAGGGAGGCGGCATTTAGAAAGTTACATCAGAAAAGGGGTTATCTAAAATATCCAACTGTTTACTTGTTACTTCATATACACTATTCTCTAAATATCCTATCCTTAATAACATGTCAACTAAACACTGTGCAAAATAGATATGGTCTTAAGTGTCCAGTGACACAGCTTTCGTTGGTTATTTCAGACAAAATTTAACACTTCCTCAAAGAGCCAGAGTGTACTGGTTTATAAAAATTTCTCAGTACAGTGACATCTGAGGGTTTAAGGAGGTAGCTGCCACAGTAAACTGCAGGTTGTTGTTATTTGGGAGGTTTGGGGTCTTATCCTGAATTAATAACATGAAAGAGGGAGGTCTGCAGGGAACTCTGTTCGCAGGTTCATGGTAGTCAATTACTGAGTTAATATCCCCGTCATACAACCTCAAGCAGTGTTTGGAGCTTTAATATGTTTCAAATATGCCACCTTAGTGTGAGAGGTAAGCTTTATTCCTATGTCCAGGGGTTAGCATATTGTGGCCTTCAAACAAAGTCAAGAATTGTGCTGCTTCTCAGAATTCTGTTATTGATCCGGATTAAATGTTTGCCCTTTCTCTGGGGCCTGCTCACACCACAGTGACCCATGTAGTGTACCGAAGAGTGCATTGGCTCTTCTGCCTTTCTTTGATAAGCGAGTGTCACTTCACTTCAGGTAGGACATGTACAACTGTGATCCAGGTACAGACCGGCTGAAGTTTCCTACCTTACTCAGATGAAATATAAACTGAAAATGTTAAGGTATACTGCAAATAGAGTTTGAAACCTCAACAACACTGCCTGCGTTTTTTTTTTTTTTGCCATTCTGACTAATTGATGCAATGACAATTTTCAACAGTAAATAAAATAAGGATGCGTAGCTGGTCTGTTACCTTCACCTGGACACAAACAACAAGACAAGCTAAATAAAAAAAGGTTTACTTTCAACTGTTACTAAGAGAGAGGGCAAGCCAAACAAAGGGAAAGTAATAACATGACAATAAAAACTGAAAATACAGGAGGCTGATCCTGAACACATCAGAGGACCAGTAGCTGTCGGATGGAACACTTCCTGCTGGTGGTGATCCAGGACAGAGTTCTTCACTAGCCACCAACACTGACTGCAGAGAGAACAGAACAAGTGTGTTATGACACTACATGTCAAAATGAGCATAACATGGTCAGTTTACACAGACCGTCATGGTGTGGTGGTTTATCTACATGCCAAGAGGAAGAAGTGGAAAAACCCATTTTTTTTGGATGGACTCTACAGAAAACTAAAAGTTCATGTGAGGAAATCCAAGGTTTACATTATACTGTCCACACAACTAGTCCCGCAGATGATGAGAGCAACACAGCTGATTTGTCCTCATTGTGTTTAGAAAAAAAAAAATTACAAGCCATTTTGTCGTAGATACTGTTACTCTCAGAACAAATGTATGTTAGCAGTTGATTTAATGGAAGATGTGTATAATGTGAAAGCTGCTGAATGTGGCGATGGTCCAACCTGAACTCATCACTCCTGCGTCTCCATACTCTCATCCTCGCCATCTCCTCCCTCCTCCAGAGCTTCATCTTCCTCCTCCTTCCTCTCTGGAGGTTTCTCATAGGCCTTCTCTGACGGAGTGACGATCACACCATCCCATGTGGACATCTCTATTGCCAGGTCTGAAGCAACAAATTATTGTTTATTCGGCTTATTGCTCAGGCAGGCACAATTTGTATCCTCACAGCTCAATTGTGGAACTTGACGGTACATGTGGAAATAGCAACACGCTTAAGATTTGCCCCTCACATTTGAACATGTTTACCAGGGATCATCATACTGGAAGCACAATCGGGTGTGACGAGATCTCGTGAAATTAAAACGTGATGATATTTTCTCATTAAAGCAAACGCTGTCTTGCAATATCAGCACATAACAGAACCAGGGCAATAGCATGACGGAGTGTGAAGACGGAGTGACGGTATGTTTACATTAGTCCGGCAGAAACAACTTCCTGCTGTGTTTTAACGCACAGGGCTGTGTTGGTCGGGGGATGAGGGAGTCGACATGTGTGGCTTAGTTCACACCCCGTGAGTTTCTGTTGTGGTTAGCCATGCTGCTAACACAGCCTACTCTAACCTAGCATCAGGGTGTCTGCAGTGATTGATAATAAATACTGTTTAACATCCAGCATGAATAAACGCATGGCGTGTAATTATGGTGCATTAATTGTGGCCCAGATTCAACAGTGAACAGCAGTGAATGCTCATCCTAACAAGGTAAACAAAAGTCTTCTTCCCTTGGACACCCACGTCCAGATCATACCCTGTATGCGACTAGTCAACACCGCGCCTTAGCCGGATCATCTCTTCTGTTTGTCCATCATCTCCAAACTTGGAGTTTGCTGGCACAAGAGGAGCACCCGTTAGCTTTTTTACACCAATGTTACTTGTGTGAGGTGGCACACCTATACTGCTGGTGAGTGTCGTGGGCCTGTGTTTAACTTTGTGTGGACTGTAGTAACATCACTCCTATCAGCTGCTGCTTCTCATTGGAATGTAAGGATGACTGCTATATACAGTACACGTTACTCATATCTAGCCAGTTGATTTACTTCTAAATAAATAACAGATTTTATCTTACAGCTGGCATCTCCCTCCAGGCCAAGGATCTTCCTGTAACCTCCATGAGAGAGCACCCTCACCAGTGTCTGAGCTGTGAAACACACCATGTCCTGCACAAACAAACACACAGACATTATCACACCACCATCAGTCATACCACTGTAGTGGTTGAAAATAAACAAGGTTCCAGAGGTAATATGTAATAGAACAGTATGTAGTCCATATTTAGATATTATTTGTAATAGTTGTGTAAGGATGGAAGGCTGAGCTAAGTGTTTACGGAAGCTTGATCTGTTTCTGGCGCAGGCAAGAATATCTTGGGCTGTGTCCCCCTTGTTTAACCTATGGGTCAACATCCCGAGTGACTTCCTACTCAGATAGGGAATGGATATACTGTAGCTGCAGCCTTATGTGAACTGATCGTGTGCTCTTTTCAGGTTTAGAAAAAGGAAATGTGCGCTAGGTCAATGCGACCTAGAAGTTCACGTACTGGACAGTTTAGACAATGCTCGGAAGAAAGTATATGGGCAGCTGGCATGGGACCGCGTCTTCATGGCTCAGGCCATGGAGGGCTGTGCAAGTGCGAGCAGATAAAAAGCTGGGTTAGAGCAGGAGAAGGAGAGAGGATGACCATGCTACCGTGAAAGGTGTACCGTAGACCCGGGGAGACTGACAACTGACTGTGGGTTGACAGAAAGACTGACTCGGGACCAACAACAACTGACTGGTGCGTTTGACAATCTTCTTATTTAATGCTTTATCTATCACATTGCAGGAGGAGAGTCCCTGTTCTCTGTTTCCCTAACTACAAGATTATCTGTTTAAATACTACTCTATTCAGAATAATTGTAATATTAAATGATCATTTAAATTGGGATGGCTTGTCTGAATTAATTTAGTTGGCATCACACTCTAGCCACGACACCACATTTCTGAAAGCCGTCTCACTTGTCAGGAGTTTTCTGACTCAAACATCTGGTTGTCCAGATAGCTCTTCTGTGGTCAAACGCTAGAAGGCATGCTACTGCCTCACTGCAAACAGAATGTGGGTGCTAGCAGAATAATTAAGCTCCCTGTATCACCTGCAGTAAAGGGGCAGGATCACACCCACCTGTTGTTCCAAAGTCATGACTGTGTGCACTCTGAAGTTTCCACTCTCACAGGGGTCAGTGATGCCCACAGAGCCAGGCAGAAAGAGACCAGCAGCCAGCATCTGCAGGCAGCGCCTTCAAAACACAAGTCCAGCTCAAAGCTTAGAGACAGTGTCTGATCCTTAGTGATCATACAGCAATGAAAAGTAAGGTGAGAGAACCAACCTGTAGGCCGCATTCAGGGACAGGGGCTGCCTGGACGGGTTGTTCATCACTGCAGAGTGGCCCTGAAACAGACACCAGCCTTACCACCATGACCTCATCACTTGTAGATTGATACTACGTTATCTTATCACTCTGGACATGATGTCTGTAAAATGTCAAGACCTGGGGACTTGTGGTCTTACCAGCAGGTCCAGGATCCAGGGTGTGAGGGGTTCAAAACCAGGGAAGCGCAGCCTCAGGTCCTTCAGCAGGCGGATCAACACTTTTACCCTGAAAATGAGGACAATCAGATAATGCAGTAAGTTCAGGTGAGTGTGCTCATGCCTACGTTTATGCATGAATCAACTCTAGTGGTAGAAAACAGCAGGCCAGTAAGACTTCCTCACGTTGACTGGGAGGCATTCTCCTCAAACCAGCGGGCGTGGCGAATGGCAGCGAGCGCGCTCTGCAGCACCTTGATGTCCACTGGAGAAACAAGACAATAAATCCTAGTGTCCCAGGGTGGATTCCCACCATGGACTTCATGTCTTATACATTTACCAAAAAGTCTAATTAACAACCTTGATTGTGACAATCACAGAGTAAAACAGCACTCATTTGTCAAATCAACACATGGTTTGTACAGTAAATAAAGCAGATTATTGTCACTGTATTCTCAGTTTTATGACACATTTCTGAACTTTTATATTTTATCTCCAGAACCTGAACAATCTGCGAGTCAATTTGGCAGCATTTTAACAAATCCTTTAGCTTTTTTGGAGTTAATTGTTTTTTCAAATGTTAAAAATGTAGCATAATGGATGTTGTACTGTAACCAGTGGTCACTTATAAAGTTTGTTCACATTTTGCCAGATGCTTTTCAAAAAGACTGGGCTCTCTAGGACCTGTCTTGACCAACAGAAGTTTTACTAAACCCTTTTAACTATGACTTAATTCAAAATGGAGTGAAACTGAGTGAGTGAAAATAGCTGTGGCCTACACTGAGACATAATTACCGGAGGAATCCTCAGGAAAAACGATAAGTTGACTGTGTACGGTTTTCTGAGCAAAACAAAGGCAGCTGTTACAGGGCCACCAGGTCTGCTGACGTGGCTTTTGTTAGCTGAGCAGTTGTGAGCTGAGACTTCCGACATGTCTGCCATAGGACATGGTTGTTGCTCCGAAAACAAAAAAACAACTAACAATCAAAAGAGATCTCCAGAAACCTACTAAATAATAAAACACTGGCAGAGTGATACCTGCAGGACCGGCGGCCTCAATTATCCCACTGTTTCTCATTTATTTAAAATATCATGGCCCAAAATTGAAGAGGTTGTACAAAAAAAAAAAAAAAAAAAAAAAACCCAAAACAAAGTAGAGACATTTCCTCTACACGCTGAATATATATGTGTGTGTGTGTTGTGCACAGAGAGTTCATACAGTGCAGTTCAGGGTCGAGCTTGCGCAGGTTGGGAGGGACGGTGGTGATGAGGATCTTGACAGTAGCATCAGCTGAACTGATCTCAAAGCCTGTCTCATTGGTCAGCATGGACAAAACTGAAACCAGGAGATACACAGTTGCACAGTAAATACATCTGAAACGAGCAATAGCACATTATCAATTAAATATTTTTCATTTTGGTCTATAAAATGTTGTGTGCCCATATGGATGTGAGAATAAGTCTTAGTCGGGCTGCACAATTATAGCAACAATCATAATCACTATTTTCTTTGGTCAATACTGAGATCACAATTATTTAACCCGATTATTTTGGAAACATCAAGGATTTATTAAACTTTTAAAAATGTTTAACTGTGTTTTTTTTTTAAATTAATTAGTTCAGTTGAGCCATTAGGTATTCTAAATAAAACGTTGCTACTTCAGGTTAACAACACTGCCAACCTTAAACAAAACGCTCAGTCTGCTGCCCAACACAGCATCTCTCATTTAACCATACTTGGCAGCACTGTATCAGAAGTAAAGTCCTTCAAGTTCCTGGGCTGCACTATCTCCCAGGACCTGAAGTGGACGTCCAACATCAGGACCATCACCAAGAAGGCACAGCAGAGGATGTACTTCCTGCGCCAGCTCAGGAAGTTCGACCTGCCCCAGGAGCTGCTGATACAGTTCTACAGAGGAATCATCGAGTCTGTTCTCTGCACCTCCATCACTGTCTGGTTTGGCTCAGCAACCAAAAAGGACAAGTACAGACTTCAGCGGACAGTGAGGACTGCAGAAAAGGTCATTGGTGTGAGCCTGCCCTCCATGGAGGGCCTGTACACCGCACAGGTCAAAAGGAGGGCGGTGAGGATCACTGCTGATCCCTCACACCCCGGATACAATCTGTTTGAACTCCTCCCCTCTGGATGGCGCTACAGGTCACTGTGCACTAAGACAACCAGGCACAGGGAGTTTCTTCCCCCAGGCTGTTACTCTGATGAACACTTAACCCAAGACAGTATGATTGGACAATAACCCTCAGTGCAATACCTGTGTATATATACATTGTATAGATTAGACAGACTTGTACAGGTCTCTAGTACTCTGTTTTAAATACTCTATTTTTATCCCTAATTATCTCATTTCAATGAAAATTCCTTTGTTGTCTGCATTGTCTATTTATACTGCTTTTTCTGCATCGTTTGCACTGTTTGTTGATGTTAATACTGCTATTTTGTTATATTACACATCCATATGTTGGTTTACTGTCTGCACATTGAGAGCTGACGTACCTGAGTCAAATTCCTCATGTGTCCAACAAACCTGGCCAATAAAGCAGATTCTGATTTAACACAAATTTATCCCATTTGTTTCTTAGGAGACTGGTTGATGTAGAGTAAGAAGAGTTACAATGATTAAGACCTACTCTAAACTACACAATTACTGTTTTATGACCAGCTTGAAAAATCCTGAACCCATCCTTTAATGTGGGCCACATTCAAATAATTAATCACTAAAAGATACTGATGTCTACATGTCATTTACCCAACCCACCGAAAAACCGACCAACAAGGGGCTCTAAGTGCATCACCTTCAGTAGGGTCCTGTGCACGAAGGGTCTCCACTACTTTGTTTCCAAGAGCAGCAACTGCCTCCACTGTAAAAGAAAAGATCATCATCACCAGTCAACATTCATTTAGAGTCTCCAGACTTTGGACTGCTAGCATAGAGACTGATCCACAGGGGTATCTAATGTGATTAAAATGCAACTACTTCAACAGACCTAAAGAGTGACAAGCACCAACACCTCGAAAGGCCTTCAAGTCAAAAAATAAGAACAGCAGCAACTTTGTTTTAGACAGGGTTCCAATTTGAATAACTATACCAAGTCTCTTCAGTTTGGAAGCAGGTGACATCACTTCCTAGTGATCACTCACG